ACTAATATCTGATTTGTAACTCTTTTCATCCTCTCCGGGGGATGTTGTGTGTTAATAAATAAATCTTAAATCATAAAACTGTGAATGTGTTACAAACAGTTTTGTCCTTTGAAATATGTTGATTAGTTAAACATGCTAATAATATTGTAAAAAAAAAGATTTTTTTTGTAGTCTTCATGTGTGTCTTATCAAAACAACTAGTTTCTGACAAAATATTCTGAAATCAAAGAAAAAGCAAGAAAAATACTAGCAGCCTTTCGGCTGAGATAGCTCCGCTGTCATCAATGCACATTTCAATTAAAGAACTGAAGATATCATCGGAAAATGAACAATATGTATAGTAATGAAGCAATCAGACTTGCTGTTTTCAACAAAAATTTGAAAATACAACTTTTTATCAAAAATATTAATTAAAATTAGATAATTGAAGAACAAAATTATCACGAAATGAACAAATCTGAGAGAGGTCCACATGAAGTACCTAGAAAAGTAATATTAAAGCAATTGGACTTGCGATTTTTAACAAGAAGTCGAAAATATCACTTTTTTCCAAAAATGAAAAAAATATTCATAAAAATTAGAGAATTAAATGATATCACGGCGACGACGGACAATCAGTAATACTATAAGCTCCGCTCGACTTCGTCGACAGCAGGAGCTAAAAAACTTACTGCAAATTTTTCCCCCCCAAATTTCAGGACTATAAAATGAGACAAATCTTGTATGGATTGCTCCTGACATGAAAGAAGACATCAGAGACTCCAACTATGCACATTAATAAAATCTCAAAAAAATCATGCATAATGCAGAATAAATTATTTTTGAGAGCTAATACAGACTTACTTTCGTATCTATAAAACTTGTTTCTTCTTGTAATGTTGGGGATAACATCGGTGTGCTGAAACTGTCTAATTCAACCTTAAGGTGACCGTTACCATTCGAACAGGGAATATGTCCATTTGCAGTTGGTATGTGAACTTCACATGTGCTTGGTTTGTTGCATGGAACCAAACATCCATACCTATATATTAAAATAGCAACAATTTTTTGTAAAAATATTTTTATGTCTGGCCACAGTTCTGGACATTAAATGTCACTGTTGCTCTTCCTAACTTTTCTTGATATAAATATAAAGTGCCAACTAAACCATACTCCATGCTTGGGACTTTGTAACAGGGCTGTGTGACCATCTTCCTATCATAATGGCATTATAGCAATTTAATGCACTTTTCCCGGTGACAATCAGACTTGGTCAAACAGGACCGGTGGACCTTAAACAAGGTCTCCCCCAAAGTCATATTGTTTAGTGATACTATGAATCTTGGCCAGTATATTTGGTTAACTCAAACATTCTGAGTCATAGATAACATGCAAGATTTCAGACTGGCTAAAATGAACTGGTGCAGACATTTTTTTTTTTGAACAAAACATTTATTTTTTTTAGTAATCTAGATAATACCGTTAAATTTGTATTAGAAGCCGCATCCTTAATAGAAGTCGCACCCATTTTTTTTGAACAATTTAGAAGCAAAAATTCATCATTTCTCATATGTGTAGATGCTCTAATAGAAGCCGCATCCCCTCTGTTGCTTTGCACCATTGTAATAGAAGTTACACCTTCTAATACAGATTTTACAGTAATTTGTTGCAAAAAACTATTGTAACTGCAAATGCATGTTTCCCAATGTAATTCGTAAACATAGTTCTGTAAATCATGATGTATCAGTTCCTTGGGCACTCACACTATGTCAGGTTCGTGATAAAAAGGTTATCACCTGATAGCACTAATTTGGTGAGACAGTTAATACACACAAGTCTTAGAAATATCTTAATTTCTTTTCATGTTTAGAAACCAAAAACAAATTGTCAAATTTTCTTTAAACAACACATTTTTTCCCCGCTCAAAATGGGATTTTCTATGATTTTCACTGAATTTAATTTTATATGGGGCCAAAAAGAAAAAAAATAATGCTTCTGGTTTTTGATAAAAAATGTGAGTCATCATAATCTGGGGAAAAGAGCGGACTACGGTACACTTGGAACTTTTTTTGTGGATGGTGCTGAAGTTTATTTCAGTGCTCAAAGGGTTAAAGTTGTTGTCAAATAAATATTCAAAAGTTTTGAAAATTAAAACTTTCCGAAACGCGACGGAATTTCCGAAAGTAATCTGGACGCTGTTTTGTAATAAATGAATATTCTATTGTATGGGCTGTACTATTCGCTCACTTTTGGTTCATGGATAATACTAGCCCAAGACGTACATGTAACTCATATCAACCGACTCCACGAACATCAGCGATAACCTAATAGTTAAACCAGAGTTTTTCAGAACTCAAAATCTAATCATTGGATTATTTCTTACCTTACTTTACATATTAAAATAACCATGCATAGTATGATAGTTCCTATTCCCAGAGACACTCCTATTAGTATACCAGTTATGTTAACTGTACTCACACTGGGTGATTCTGAATAAAATCAAAATACAATATAATTATGTATATATTCATATCTTCAAAATGTACAAGCCAGTACTTTAAGATAGATCAATGTTATAAGGGACTAACCTAACTACTATGAAATACATCATAAGTTAGCGTACAGAAATGAGTGTTCTTTGCCCTTTTTACTTTCGAAGATTGGTGTATATTCTCCGAGCATTCCTTAGCCTGTGCTAACCACTGTTTCCTCCCATGTGAGAGCGCAATTGGGTCTATCCATTATGTAAACATAGCTTAGATCTTAGTCTGTAATTCGTGTAGCATGAGCACTACTATATATTGCACTACTATATATCTTCAGATTGCCTCACAGTTGTCAAATTGCCTCACAGTTTTCAAATTGCCTCACAATTTTCAGATTGCCCCACAGTTTTCAGATTGCCTCAGTTTTCAAATTGTCTCACAGTTTTCAAATTACCTCACAGTTTTCAGACTGCTTCAGTTTTCAAATTGCCTCACGGTTTTCAAATTACCTCACAGTTTTCAGATTGCCTCAGTTTTCAAATTGCCTCACAGTTGTCAAATTGCCTCACAGTTTTCAAATTGCCTCACAGTTTTCAGATTGTCTCACAGTTTTCAGATTGCCTCACAGTTTTCAGATTGCCTCAGTCAGAACTTATGAATTGCTACGCGAGATCTCAATAGCATTTAGTTAAAGCATGGTGGTCATCCCATAATCTAATCTAATCTAATATTGCCAGTATTACAGGTCATTGTCTGCTTACACGATGCACTGAAAAGGTTTCACTACAGATTTTTATGTAACCATATGATATATAAAAACCAGAAACTAGCGCCCTCTATCAACAGGAGAGGGCAACAGGTGGCCACTGTGTATTTTATAGCAGATCAGTGTCCCTTCTGACCCAATCTTGCAAAGCAATAATCAGACTGATGGAGCTATCCTGGGAGGTAAATATTATGCTGCTTAATAGCATCATGCTTTAATTGAAGAATAAGACAAGCAGCCTTCAGCAAGTTTTTTTAGTTGACATTTTGACTGACAATAACATTTCTTGTTTCATATTTACTTTCACATAAAGATAATTCAGTTCAATAATATCAAACTTTATTTTACCTGTGACAAAAACACAAAAATTACATTTATTTTCTTTATTTACCGATTTATTTATTTGATAATTTCAAATACAACTATTTTATTTATGTTTAAAATATTGAGGTTGCAAAGATCCTATGTTATCTTTGTTTTCATGCCACAGCAATAAATTTCATTATTATTAACATTCAACCATATTCTAACATTAGAAATTGGGTTTCATTTCAACGTAGGGACATACAAGTCATATCAAAATGAGACACAGTCTCCTTTGTTCTATAGCAAACAAAACTAGAATGGGTCAGTCCTTTTGAACTTGAAACATAGACATATGCATATGTGTATGTGTGACAGAAATACGTGCCAAGTTTAAGTTTGCTTGGTCAGGGAATGTCAGATATACGGTTCTGGAACAAACAAAATGGCCGAACAGTAATTTTGAATCCAATCACAAAAACAAAATGATATGCATCTAAGTCTCATTATGTTTAAATTATGTACCAAGTTTGAACGAAATCTGTTTATGCACAAAGATCAAATTCTAGAATGCATTCTAACCTTGCCTAAAGTATACATGTAGATGAAAGAAAAGTTATATGAAGAGAAGATGTCTGACATCATTGTTGTCTTTCTCTGGTGTAAGTTACTCCTGGTGTCAACAAGTGGTCACAGAATTGTCGCAAAAGAGCGAAACCATCTCTCATGAGAAGACCACCAAGTGATTAGGAATAGTCCACCACCAGAGAGAATGTAATTTCTTCTACAAGAATCTGATCATGAAGTATGTTTCTACATCCAAAATCTAACAGTTATTGAGGTCCATGAGGTGGTGTGAGGCTTCAGAACCACAATGAATTTGAACATCCCCATTGTACTATTTTACATAAATTTTTCTTCAAATTTTGCATAGCAGTTTACATTCGAGTCATAAGATGTACTAAACATTTATCTGAGATACAGAGGAAAAATTGTGTATATCTATTCCATCCCCAGGATCTGAGCTCGCTTAACCTTTTCACCACCAGACTTTCTCGGCCAAATTTTCTGCACATTTTTTATATATTTTTCAATATATTTCAACAGAAATAAGGGTAGGATCTTCAACTAGTACACTGTCTCTTCAAATACAAATCTCAACAGAGGTTGAATGCATTTGAGTATGTTCATGTAGGCATCCTTCAAATCCAATGCTGACAAAAAATTTGTCTGTGCGATTGAAATGACAGAGATGTCAGTAATGTTGGACTTTTTGGAGACGCAAGTAGCAGTTGATTTGTGTTCTAGTGTCAGAGGTGGCCTGTCGTACAAGCTGGGTTGTCCCTCTACCGCAGTAAAGTGATAATAGACAGGAACCAATATAGACTCAACCATATCACAAAAAGGAGGAGAGAAACCATATAATGAATCCCATCTATAGGAAGGGTTGAAACAGACGTGTCAGTCGATAAAAAGAGCACATTCATCATGTAAGCCATAAAAGCACCCTTCACTACACTATGCTATATTGCACAGCTGTCAAAAGAGACAGATTGAAAGAATGACTGGATGGACATGTGCAATTTTAATCTCCGATGAACAAACGACATAAAAAATATATTATTTTGAAATCAGCTTTTGATCATGCCTCATTTTGCTTTAACCCATTTCAAGGCTACGTATGATATTAGTATTGCGGTTCATGAACACCGACAAAGTAGACTCCAGTCAACTAGGTGCCCGTGTAAGTCTATACTCGAATGGAGCCATCTCAATTAATATCATTATAATGATGACATTGAATAAAATATTAATAGATTAAGTTTTGGGTCAGACAAATAACTATTATATACAGTTAACAATTTCGATATCGTTATTTTTTTTTAACTGACCTCTTGTATAAGGACATTTATTTTATGTTGAAGATTAGTAAGAATAAACCGCTTTTGTTGTGTTAGTCACAGATAATCATAGAATTGTAAACCCGTGTCATTTTACTGTCCTTGAAACAGAGAATTACATCCATGTAATCGCAATGAGCTTTGCAGTGTCCTGTGACTCCACTATGTTTGGACTGAACCCAACATGACCAAAGAATAGCATTTTGCAGTCACATGCAATTTTACCACACCAGGATTTTGAAAGTACTGTGCCTCAATATAGTGTGTGACCCAACCTGACCTGACCTGACCAGTCACATGTGCAGTCTTACCAAGCCAGGCTTCAGGATATCAAATTTCTCATTATTAAGTATGTGACCTGACTTGACCCAACCTGACCTGACCTGACCAGTCACACGTGCAGTATTACCAAGCCAGGTTTCAAGATATCAAATTTCTCATTATTAAGTATGTGACCTGAACTGACCAGTCACACATGCAGTCTTACCAAGTCAGCTTCAGGATATCAAATTTCTCATTATTAAATATGTGACCAGACATGACCCGACCTGACCTGACCTGACCAGTCACACATGCAGTCTTACCAAGCCAGGCTTCAGGATATCAAATTTCTCATTATTAAGTATGTGACCTGACGTGACCCAACCTGACGTGACCTGGCCTGACCAGTGACACATCCAGTCTTACCAAGCCAGGCTTCAGGATATCAAATTTCTACATTAAGTGTGTGACCTGACCTGACCTGACCTGACTGACCCAACCTGACGTGACCTAACCTGACCAGTCACAAATCCAGTCTTACCAAGCCAGGCTTCAGGATATCAAATTTCTACATTAAGTATGTGACCTGACCTGATCTGACCCAACCTGACCTGACCTGACATGACCCAACCTGACCTGACTTGACCAGTCACACATGCAGTCTTACCAAGCCAGGCTTCAGGATATCAAATTTCTCATTATTAAGTATGTGACCTAATCTGACCAGTCACACGTGCAGTCTTGCCAAGCCAGGCTTCAGGATATCAAATTTCTACATTAAGTATGTGACCTGACATGACCCAACCTGACCTGACCTGACCAGTCACACATGCAGTCTTACCAAGCCAGGCTTCAGGATATCAAATTTCTACATTAAGTATGTGACCTGACATGACCCAACCTGACCTGACCTGACCAGACACACATGCAGTCTTACCAAGCCAGGCTTCAGGATATCAAATTTCTACATTAAGTATGTGACCTGACATGACCCAACCTGACCTGACCTGACCAGTCACACATGCAGTCTTGCCAAGCCAGGCTTCAGGATATCAAATTCCTACATTAAGTATGTGACCTGACATGACCCAACCTGACCTGACCAGTCACACGTGCAGTCTTACCAAGCCAGGCTTCAGGATATCAAATTTCTACATTAAGTATGTGACCTGACATGACCCAACCTGACCTGACCTGACCTGACCAGTCACACATGCAGTCTTACCAAGCCAGGCTTCAGGATATCAAATTTCTACATTAAGTATGTGACCTGACATGACCCAACCTGACCTGACCTGACCAGACACACATGCAGTCTTGCCAAGCCAGGCTTCAGGATATCAAATTCCTACATTAAGTATGTGACCTGACATGACCCAACCTGACCTGACCAGTCACACGTGCAGTCTTACCAAGCCAGGCTTCAGGATATCAAATTTCTCATTATTAAGTACAGTAGAACGTCGATTATCCGGACTGTTAGGGGGAAATGCTTTTTGTTCGGTTATGCAAACAGTTCGGATATGCGATCTTGTGTGGGCGTGCTCAAATTTACAGGCTCACGTACACACAAATTCTAACGCACATGACTGTAATGAAATCAAACAATAGTACATGTACATGTACATGTAGAGTACGTCATTAAAAACATTTTTATTTAATCAGTAATACATTGTGATAAAAATGTTGTACGCTGGAATGTTAAAAAACATTTCCAAATGTCCGTCAAATGTTGCGATAATAAAGTTCCTTTGCTTCTTTCTTGGGAAAAC